GACAAATCGCACACTCGGGCCTTATCAACTCTCATAAATATACCGCGAACGGTACAGCAAGGGGAATTATGTAATAAATGGCAACGGCGATTGCAACGCGATAGAAGTGTAACAGATGCGGCTGTGAAGGACTGGGTTAAATGAAATTTGAGAATCAGCTCGGATTAGTCCGATCGAGCGAGATGAAATTTTTCGAGACTCGGACGAATCAAGAATTTTATTAAGCGAATTTGCTTGATATTAAAATGCATGAAGCCTTTCTCCTTGCCAGTGGAAATTATTTGTCACCAAATTTCTACAGTAATCGTAGGCGCGTGCATACATATGCGCACGAAAGTCGGACGGTACTAATTACATCTCGCGTCTCGCGTTAAATGTAATTATATCCTAACTAAACTCTCATGAAATATATACTAATTACCGAGCCGACTCGTCCGACAAAAGAAACTCGCCGCGATTCGAAGAGCCATAGTCTCTAGGAAGTGAAACGCTACTCATGTAAATTCATGCCGTGCACGAAAGAAGAAAAAGACGGATATCATCGATCGGATTGATCGTTTCTGCCGTGCCCGCGCAGCAATGGTGACAACGACCTTTCCGGTCTACCTCGCGGGTCATAAGGCATAGCCTGTTATATACGAGAGATTTAAAAGTCACAAGGAGATACTCCCGTTGATCCTTGGGTTTTCCGTGAAAGTTCGTTTGTTCACGAGAGAATATTGAAGTCTTCCGAGAACACCGTCGAAGTTCAATTTCGAGCGCTTCTAACGAGGAATGTCGAAGACATTATTTTTTTTCGTCACTCGTCCCCAAAGTGAGTGTAGATCGAAAGGATTAAGACTTAAAGCAGGGGCGCGGTATTGATCAAGCCGAATGGTATGACGCAACGTGGTGTATTCACGAGTAGGATACATCCAACGGCATTTCCGTTTGTCCCGAGTTGGAAACTTTCTGTCGTGTCGTCAGCGCGATGGTATTCGCACGATCGAATAGGAATTTTCGGGAACGTGTTAGAAAGTCCGTCTAAGAATAAGATCGTAACAAGAGCTGAATACAAATTTTCTTTAAAATAAAAACGCAGGAGTTCCTCTCTTTTTATTATCAGGAAATATGAATTAGAAAAAAAAAATGTTCTACCGCTCGAACATTATTTACTTGGTCCATATAAAATAGTTACTCCAATACTCCGTGGCAAATCTTTGCTAAAAATAGAAATATAATTGACTATATGCATTATGATATTTCCTTCGTATAAGTAAACATTTATTTATGTGTTAAAACAGTTGCAACAAGTATTAAATTCCTAATATTGAGAATATCAGAAATTATTTTGGGAAAATATTTATTGGACAGAAAAATTTAAATTTAAAAACACTACACAGAGAAAAAAATTAATCTTAAATCGAGAATAGATATTCTCATGTACAGGCAAGAATAATCTTCTTAGAAAATTTTTAGTCTTGATTTGATTGAATTTGTATTGATGCAAGTATTACTTGAATTCAATTCAAGGCTAAAAATTTTCAAAGAATATTATAATATTCTTTCTTATATATGAGAATATTTATTCTTGATTTAAGGTTATTTCTTTTTTGTGCAGGTTTCTTCAGTGGAAAAGAAGTGTTTCATAGTTCTATTATATAATTATATATTTAATACATAAAACATAAGTATAAAATACTTTCTTAAATTTAGAACTGTTTTACACTTACATTCACATAGGAAAATAGAATTATTTCTCACAGCTAAAATTTAGCTCTCATAGCTAAAAACTAGCTCCCATAGGTAAAAATTAATTATCCACTTAATGCAATTGAAATTTAATTAATTTAACTAATTTTGTACTGCCTAACTTCTACAGCTAGAAATTAATTTATCTGACAACTAAATTTCAGTTATATTATATGAACAGCTAATTCCTTTTGGTGTGTAGTTAATAATTCGGTAGCCATTTACAAATTAAGGTATTATTGCGTTCATTAACACGTTCATTGCCAAGCTGAAAATTGGAATTTCGTGTGGTGGCCAATTTTTTAATTTAGTTTTTACTGTGCTCAAAATAAGTTAATATATTATTTATATGCTTTTATTATTATGTACATAGGATTTATGTACTCTAAATATCTATTACGCGATAACGCGTGATCGGCCGTTTGGTGAGAACTCGCATCACGCGATATCGCGCGATTGGCAATGAACGTGTTAAATATTTACTACAAGCTGTTAAAATATACTCAATTTGAGAAAAATCTTGCTTGATTTAACAGACTGACAAACAGGTAGTCACGTTTATTTGATTCCAGCGCTTTTTATTTCTGTGCACCGGCATTATCTTTCGAATAAATTTATAGCGTGCGTAAAACAATAGAGACACATTTATCGAGGAGTCTCCAATAATGGCGAGCTGAAAACAGGCATGAAGAAGGCAGCAATTCGATCCCGGTTACCTTGGATTTCACCGGAGGCCGATTCGATATGATGTGTGTGATCGATAGGTACCCTTAATTATTCCCCCGGCGGTCGGCTGAATTTCTAATTTAGTCGACTTCGATATCGGGTTCACCGGGGAAGCGGTTTCTCATCTAAGCGGTAGTTTCACGTTTTCCTTTCCGAATCGCGATTAACCGGAATCCGTGTCAAGGATGTTCATTCGTCGGCCGGTTTATCTTCTCTCGTCCGCCCGGAACCTACTTACGAATTAACGCTCGGCTCGTCGAGCGAACGGCTCTTCGAGCGGTACCTTCGTCGGTAATTCGCGTGCGCTTTACACGACTGTTCGCCGGGACGATAGTCGAAGCGGGTCACCGAATCGCACTCGACGCGATGAATCACCGCCGTGCGAACCACCGGCTGCGGGGCTAATGAGGGGTAGTAATGATTAGAGAACATTTATCGCACCGCTCGCTCCCGAAACACCCCTGAAAATTTATAGTCTTCGATCCCGCGGTCCCATTAGTACAAACCGCGCCGCCTATCATCCGATTATCTCCCGCCGACATCCGGTGCAAAAAGAGCGAGCGATCGTCGAACCCGCGCAGCGGCCTCGCCACGGCCGTTATAAGGAGGCGCAGTTGCATTCGAGCGGACCACCAAGCGCAATTGTTATCACCGATGCAACGGCGAAACAATGTTGCCGGAAGGCGCTCGCTCGCCTAACGGTAATGTGGACCGTACGCGAATACAGGCGTGATTAAATCGTTCTCGTTAACGACGAACTAGAGACCGGGGCATCCCCTCGCGCGCGCATGTATTATCGGAAGCATCCCGCATCTTCACGGTCACGTTCGCGGCCTTTGACTTAAGCGCGCCGGCTGACCAGGAGCCATGTTGGATTTGTGGTCGCCGAGGACGCGGGGACGAAAAACCGACGGAAAACCGACGTCGACGTGTGCATATATCGATCGTCGACATGTTCCCTACCGGGGTTTATTTATGAAACTCACCNCCCCCCCCCCCCTACTTTCCCCTCAAGCTACTTCGCAGTTCACACCGAACGTCAGTTATTATGTCAATATTATAATTACGCACTTAACAATACAAATGTTATGTAACACCATATGTTATGTTACAATTATGTTGTTTAGTGCAAAATTATAATATAGATTTATATTATTTAATGCGAAATTATATTATTATGTAAATGATGCTTGGTGTCGGCTGGGTTCATATTTATTTGTTTTGCATTACTATATATAAAACAAGCTTAGTACGTTACTCGTAATCAGATTTTATATTTAAAGGAATGTTCTCATTTGGAACGTTTCGTTGCGTAAATGGTCCTTAGACATTTTTTCTGAGGTAAACTATAAGACATACCATTCTGAAATCAAAATAGCGAAGAATTACTAAATTATTAAACAATAAACTTGTAGCTATCGTCTCTACCGCGATGAAATCAATGTATTTAATATTTCGATTTTTCCAAGATTCCCAAAGTTGAAAAAGAACTGTCCAAAAATCGACTTTTCTTTTATAAGTCGTGCCATTTTGTCAAAAATCGATTTTTACTCTCCTACTCGTGGATATAATAGCCATGAGTTTATAGTTTAATCATTTTTTTGCCTTTTTAATATCAACGTCCGGAATCGTGTATGCAAACAAAATTTTTATTCAGCGCTGCACAAAATTATTTACAACTTTTCAGAATTGTAGATTTCTAAAAAAGTGTCTAAAAGTTACCTGCAAAACGACGTTTCGACTGAAAATATCTCCTTAAAATCTTCTTAAATTCACCTTCAGATGGTGTACAAATTGTTTTATTGGCAGCGAAGAGCCTGAAAATGAACTTGAGACGATCTTAAATATAATATTCGACTGTGAATGCCTTAGTTTACTTATGTGGACGTAGAATGAAAAAAGATCGCTGTTACATGTACGTAAAGCTGCACGGAAAAAATCAATATTAACTCAAGACTCATATTCTCATATATAAGCAAAAATATATAATGTTATATGAAAATGAAACTTGCTAACATATGAAAAAAGCCTTCATCCATTATATTCCACTAAAAATATCATATTCTTGAATAATAAGAATATGATATTTTTAGTGGAACTATATAGAAACTTTATAGATTCTTTATGTATAAGTTTTATCTTTATATTAGATTATATATCTATGTTGTGTAAGTTAATTTTAAGTTAAAAGTTTAAAGTTTAATGCATTTTACGCGACTAAATTAAAAATTAACTAAATTAAAAATTAACTAATGTAAAATTAATTAAGTTAAAAGTTATTAACTTTTTAAAATAATTTTTAACTGATTAATTAGTTATTAACCAATCCTGTTATATATTCTTGCTCATTAATAAGGATATGAATCTTGAATTGATATTGATTTTCTCCCGTGTGGTCTCTCGTGAGAGATCGATGCGTTACACACGTGTGATGCTGGTAGCGAGCGTGTTTCACGCGAACTCGGTTAAACGATAAACGCAGATTATCATCCAATGTTACGAGGAGAAAGCACGAGAAAATATAGGCTATTATTCATCCGTAGGTATCAGTGACGAAGATACCGCCGGAGCCGCGCAGTCTCCGTGGACGGAAGCGCGAAATGACACGGCGGAATCGAAAAGCGCATATCCGACGAAAGAGGCCGATATCAAGGCCACGACAGAGGCGAAGAAGAAGCCGGTAGTGGATTTCAAGGTCAAAAGCGATCAGAAGTACCAGAAACCCATTATCAAGGACGATGACGCGAAGAGACCCGTGGAGGTCGACGCGTCGATGACGTTGCCGGCTTCGCCCACGACGTCTCCGATGAAGCCCGATCATTCCTCGGCGACGACCAAACCCATGGATGCGGCGGATGTAACGATCCCATTTCTTCTTCACGGAGAGCCGATCGTCGGGATCACCGCGACGACGCCAACGACGAGCACTCCTGCCATCCAGGACACGATGAGCAGCACGGAGGAGATGCGAGTGACGGAGGAAACGACGTCGTCGAGAGGCAGAGCCTTGAACATCTCCGCTCCGGAGCCAACGAACTCGTTGCACGCTAATATTACAGATCTCAGTGACGTCAGTATGGACGACGACGATAAGGAAGTGGAAGGTAAACGTTGTTACAAGAAAGACATCATTCGCTTTATCTCGTTTTTCTTTTTTTCAGCAAATACCAACCATTTTTTTTCGACACAAATTCTGAGAGGAGTGAAAAATGGCAGAAAATGTCGCGCTCGATGTTTTTAATATCGTTTAAAATTAATTGCCATCTTGTTGTAACATGTTAAGTACCGTTGATGGCCTGCATTGAACTTTTTGTTCAGACCGTATAGCGCATATACAGGTGGTCCACTTAAATCGAGTATCTTAAATTCACTTGGTTTTGATAATACGGAGAAATGTCTAAGGAAAAACACCGTTTAAGAGGGTAATTAAGATGACAGAAAGTTTTATTTTCATGATCATTTTTCTCAGAGATTTGAAGATCAAAATAATGTTTCTAAATAGGATATGTTTTTGTTTGCGCGATTTTACAGCCAACATGAACAAGAGTTCAGTAACCTATGACGTTTAAATAATCTTGAATATAGAAATGACGTATGTTTAAAGAAAACAGAGAAGTCAAACATTTATGTTCTTCGACATAAAAATTAATTTAAGGAGGCTGAATTAAATTAAATTAAATTATCTAGACTTTTCTGTAATTAATGATGAAAAACGGATTCCGTTATGTTCCTTCCCGCGTTTCCGGCGACTCGATCTTTTCATATTTCCTTATACAATATGAACTTTTAAGAGACGTCTAAAAAAGAAGAATATCTATAAAAAGAAGAATCTCCTGTGAGGTAGAATTTTTTTATACGTTTAAAAGACACCTAAAAAGAAAGATCTAATAAAGTAAGGTACTTCTAAGGGAAAGATGGTTTAATAAAATAAAAGCTTTTTAAAACGATGTTTACAACTACGTAGAAGAATATGAGAGAGCATATTTTGAATACATGTGCGAGGACAAATTCAGAAATGATAGAAGGGGCAAGAGTATTATTTATGTATCATATACAAAAATATATTGTAGTCAAAAGACATCATTTTGAATATCTCCATAAGTTTTTGTAGAAGATATATTTTTGTAAATTTTTATAGAAAATACATTTTTGTAGAAATTTTAATGAAATTGTAGAAGATAAATATATGACTTTTCTTTTTTTTTAAACATTTTTTTCTTTAAACATACGTAATTTTCCATGTTCAAGATCATTTAAAGATTATTTCGTCATAAATCACTGAACTCTTCTCGATGGCTATAAAATCCTGCAAACAAAAACATGTAGTTCTATTTCAAAAAATTATTTCGACTTTCAAATCTCTGAAAAATGACCTTGAAAAAACTTTGTTGTAATTATTCCCTCAAATGGCGCAACTTTTTCTTTAGACATTTCTTTGTATCATCAAAAACAAATAAAATATTTAAGCTGCTTGATTTAAGTGGACCATCTCTCTCCTTTTATGTTACATTTTCCATTATATTTTACGTTACATTTTCTTCTTCATAATAATGAGTTTTGCAGTTTTATAAATATTATAAGGTATATCTTATAATAAGTGTGGTAACGTGAACTATAGGATACTATATGGACATAGGATAGTACTTCATGAATGAAAAGTTACTTGAAATTGGCGCGGCACTCAACATGTTAAACTACGTGTTAAACACGTGGCAGTTTAAAACTTGTTCCTTTAAAACAACGTTTCTAAAATAACACAATCCCTAGTAGAAATTAAACCTCCCTAATCTGATAATGGCTAGATAAATAATTTAGCTGATGGTTAAGCAAAAGAAATTACAGATACGAGATGAGAAGTTACAAAGTATAAAATATAAGTAGCCGAGTAGAGTAATGTAACATTGACTTCTACATCTTTAAGATTTTTATGAAACAACGTACCTTCAGTTTTATTTTTTTTATTTCATTTTTAAACGCTAATGGCGGATATAACAAGATTAGATTATATAATTAGATTATATTAGATTATATTAGATTATATTAGACTATATTAGATTATAGATTATATAATTAGATTATATTAGATTATATTAGATTATATTAGACTATATTAGATTATAGATTATATAATTAGATTATATTAGATTATATTAGATTATATTAGACTATATTAGATTATAGATTATATAATTAGATTATATTAGATTATATTAGATTATATTAGACTATATTAGATTATAGATTATATAATTAGATTATATTAGATTATATTAGATTATATTAGACTATATTAGATTATAGATTATATAATTAGATTATATTAGATTATATTAGATTATATTAGACTATATTAGATTATAGATTATATAATTAGATTATATTAGATTATATTAGATTATATTAGACTATATTAGATTATAGATTATATAATTAGATTATATTAGATTATATTAGATTATATTAGACTATATTAGATTATAGATTATATAATTAGATTATATTAGATTATATTAGATTATATTAGACTATATTAGATTATAGATTATATAATTAGATTATATTAGATTATATTAGATTATATTAGACTATATTAGATTATAGATTATATAATTAGATTATATTAGATTATATAATTAGATTATATATTTTAGAATACATAACGCTAATAACTATTTTATCATTTGATATGTAACAGCTAGACACCAGCTGACAACAGTTAGATGTCAAAATCGATTCTATATTTTAGCGAGTAATCAGCCAGTAACGAATTAATTGATTAACGAGCTAGAAAATTTAATCTAGTCTGTACTAACTAGCTGCTGACTTTTAACTTAGGTCGATTAGATATACTCTAACAGAAATTGAACTTCGTGGGTATCTAGCCATGAGGTAATAAATTTATGTCTAACGTCGGTACTAGTCAATAACGTAACGCCCATTTTTTCTCATAGCTAGATAATGATTAGATAAATAAGTTAGCTGATGATTAAATAAAAAAAGTTACAGTTACGAGATGAAAAAGCATAACTAGTCGCTGGGCTGTAATGTAACTGTATACTTCTGCATTTTTAAGATTTTTTTGGAATAACGTTCTGATTTGCTACTCTAGTTTTAAATGTTATTGGCGGATATATAAGTTAACTACTCTAATTAACTACATTTTTCACGGGAAGATTCGAACAATTTGATCGACTGTCTTCAGGCGGAGAATACGTTGCGTCTCACAACGAAACCGTCAATATCACCTCGACATTGCTGCCGAAGATGCCAGTGTGCGTTTACGGGAATCGCACCTATTCATTGGGCGAGAAAGTCGTGCGTGATTGCGAGGAGAAGTGCGTGTGCTCGGAAGGTGGCATCACGAATTGCCAGCCGCTGTGCGTGCATCCTTACGTCAGAGCGGGTAGGGGAGTCGAGGATCCGCTGTGCCAGGAGAAGACGGCCACCGAGGAGCCGTGTTGCGCCGTGATCCTCTGTGCCGCGGATTCCGGTATGTTCCTTCTCGTGTTCCCGGCGACTCGATTTTCCCATATTTCCTTATACAACGTAAACTTTTAAGAGACGCCTAAAAAAAGAAGAATGTCTATAAAAAGAAGGATCTCCTGTAAGAATAGAATTTTTGTATACGTCTAAAGAACGCCTGAAAGAAAAGATCTGGTAATGTAGGACGTTTTAGACTTCCGAGGGAGAGATAATCTTAGAAGTAAAATTAGAAGCCTTTTCTAAAAACGTCTCAGTAAAGAACGATCCGGTGAAAGTAAGATTTTCTAAAGGTGTAAAAGACGTCTTTTGGAAAAAAGGGACGGAACGTCCTTTAGACGTTTTAAGGACGTTTTTGGGAAATTCGAGCTGTTTGTGTTGCTCTCTCGTCGAATTACTCGGTTCGACAATTTGGAGATACATTTGACGCAGCTCCCGAGCCCGAGGAGACGTGCGTGTTCGGCAACCAAACGGTAGCCAGAGGGCATCGTGTCGATGACGGCTGCTCCAGGACGTGCGTCTGCGAAGCCGGCGGCCACTTAAAATGCCAAGCCAGGTGTCCGCCGAACGAGACTACTTCCATAGCCAATCAACACGATCGCTGCGTCGCTCTAGCCGATCCCAGGTAAAGGTCTTTCTCTTTCCATCGAACGCAAACTACCGAATCGTGGGGTGAAATGGTTCGGAAACAGGCTAACTGCTTGCACTTCAGGGACTCCTGTTGCACCATCACGCTCTGCGACGTCACCTTAGGCGATCACGAGATCAAAGCCGAGAATTCCACGGACCTGAGTGTGCACTTGATGGACGTGAAGGTGTTGAATTCAACGGCGATCAAGCTGAAACTGTCAGCCAAGAATCCCCAGGACGTCACCATAGAGATCTCGGAGAATAATCACGTGTGGAGGCAACAGAAACCCGACAAAGGTGAGGGGATTTTTCGAAACGATCATTTGGCGCTGGTTTTTAACGCGCTGGTTACCACGCGTCACGCGTACGTCGATTCTCATGGGAGGCCGGCGTCGCATATGTAGCGAAGTAATTTTGTATTCCCTGTCCGAATATATAAATTAATACTTTGAAAGCCGCATATTTATCGCGGAAATTTCGGATTTCGAAAGCTCGCTCGAGAATCGCATCATCAAAAAACATCCCCTGTACATAAATCCTCTCATACATCCTCTGTAATATTACAATATAGACCGTTATTATCGGTAAATATTTCTTTATAAGGTGATAGCATGTGTACAGGGTAAAAAAGTGTTAAACTTTATACATTTCACATGTTGCAAACGGTTCACGCAAATTTTTCTATCGATTTAATATAAGTTGAATATATTGAAAAGTAACGCAAATAAATATTACGTCAGAAATGAATACAAAATTAATACTTCAATCGGCATTGAAGTATAAAATGCGTTATTTTGACACTTACGTAAAATGAGTATCGACTCAACACAAAAGATTGAGATAACATAAACACAATACGTTAAATTAGCACACGAGTATGTTAAAAATTTAACGCAAAAATTCCAATAAGGATCGATTTTGACGCAGGTACAAAATGTATTTCATTATGCGTGTGATAGCAGCCGTTAAAGTGTCAAGTATGCTGAGCAAGTCACCTGAAAATACGGCACTGAGTCTTGCAACCTTCTTAATGACGAAAAATGCAGAATCAGAGGTAACTGAGTTCCCGCGTATCTTGCAGATGGTGTCGTCTCGACGTTGGAACCCGCGCACACGTATTACGTTCGCGTGGCGGAAGGAAGCCGCACTGGTCCAGCCATTCAGGTATTTCTGCCGGCCGAAGTGGTGAAGGTGGCAAATATTACGGAGAAAATGTCCGACAAAAACTCCTGCAACTACAGAGGGAAGTCCTACAAGGTCGGCGCGGGCTGGTACGACGAGTGCGTACACTTCTGCAACTGCAAAGAAGGCGGCAAGCCCGAATGCAACACAATAGAGTGCTCCACGGACTTCGAGCTGGACACGTTGAATTCGCATTGTGTGGATTGGGAGACTGTCCCCGCGGACTTCGTCCCGAAAGCACCGAACTGTTGTCCTCCGGTAACGGCCCTTCGGAACTTTCATCTGTACCGATCGAAATTGTGCATTCAATTTATAATACTTTCGTTTTAACCCAAATTATCGCATACATCGCGTTACTATTTCTCGATAATTTTCACAAAAATAGATGCATATTCCATTAGTCTTAATACAGTGCGGATCGAAGACGTGAATCGACGTTTTCAGTTTCTGAAACATTGAGAACCGGAAACGTCAACTCACTGCTTCGAGGATTGGAACTGCAGTGAAAATTCTGTGTAATATTCCTTCGTGAAGAATAACGTTTCAATGAATATCGCATTCAAAAACTTTACTATCGTATTCACTAATAAAAAAATATATATACGTCATATCGGTCCGCGACATGTTGACATTGTATAAAATATAAAATTATCATATAAAGGTTTTACGTTATATTTCAATTTACGTATTATAAAGTTAAAACGAAGTTGAAAATTTGCGGGTTAAAATTTACGTATTACATGCGAAAATTATATTATGTATTTACATTACGTATTTACACGCGAAAATAATATTCAAACGTATACATCGCGTATATTATATTCAAACGTATGCATCGCGTATATATTATAATTCTTTACATTATATCATATTAACGTAGAATATTCATGGTTGTAAAATGCGTCGTTTAACGAGAAGGGAGATGATTTCGGGAATTGTTGTTTTCTTGTTAACGAAGGTTCCGTCGAGATCGCACACTTATCATCGTTTCGACACCTTGCAGGAAGTGCGCTGTAGAAATAACGGCTCCTGCATCTACGAAGATGTCGTGTACGATAACTGGAGCAGGTTGCCGATGAACGTCACCGGCTGCGAGAACGATTGCTTCTGCGAGATGGGCAACGTGTCTTGCCGCGCGGCTTGCAACCCGGTACCAGCCTTGCCGCCTGCCAACTTGCTGTGTCCCTATCAGGCAACGTTGACGAGTCAGCCTGAAAACCCGTGTTGCCTGCAGTGGACCTGCGCCTCTCCATCGGCACACCTACCAGGTAAAGAGCGATCTAGGTGGAGCGACGAATGCACCTTCCAACATCCTCGCCAGATGGTTCGTTGAGGGTGCACGCACTTGGGGTGCGAAACGACCAGACCCATAATTTCCTGATTGTTATTGACACTTGGGCGCGCGTTTTTCCCGAAAACTCATCCCTACCGCTGCGACTTGGAGGAAGGGAGGCAGATTTTACATGTAATCATCCTTAAGGCTGTGTTGAATCTGCATACGTGAATGCATATGGTGAAAATTGTCCACGCTCTTCCCGATGTTTACAACCGCCATCTTGTGAATTTGACACAATGTACGCCTTAGAATCGGACTCGGATTCACCCCTCCGTGTGAGCGATATGTTCGCGCAGATCCGGCAACTCCTCGGACTCTTAGACGCCGTCATGATATCCGATCTTGTTAACCATAGACATATGTTCAACCCGAATGACACCCTGATCGTCTCCCTCGGTCCCTTTGTACATACTCCGCCATAACCGAGAGCAAAGCTGTAAATGCATGCTTCATGTGGCCACGGCTGTGCTTGAAAAAAACCAAAAAGCAATGCGTAAGTTGGATCCCGCTGTAAATATGCATGGACTATGGACAACCTGTGACCGATCACTGTGACAATCTCTGTGACAATGGACTTTACTCATTGCAGGAATGAACGTGACGACCGCGTATCCCGGCCCCTTAGCCACAGACACGTTCGATCGGCAAACGATTGACAATAGCAAAAGACCGAATAACAAGTCGGAAACGCTCAAGCCCAGCCAGGAACCGGAGCGTGGCGCTCCCTCCTTGTGGGAAGATCCAAAAACCTATAAGACCCAACCAGACGCCACTACTCACGGACTCCCTCATTATCCCATGGACCCAGGACATCCCACAGTGCCTTACAACGGACCCTACAGTCCCGATTACGTGCCCACACATCCCACCGTGGAGAACGTCTTTCACTTGGCCGGCCATCCCGAAAAGCCGATGCCGACCCCGAAAGAAAAGTCCAAGTCGAAATCCGACAGCAAGAAGCCCGTAGAGCCGGTAAAGCCTCACAAGGACATGATCGATCAGTATTTCCCCGGCCCGTTAGCGCCCAATAGGTTCCCCGACAAAGCCACTTCTACGTCCTCGTACTCTGTCCACGAGAACCAGCACGTTCCAGGCCCGAACAAGCTGCCCCCTCAACAGAAGGGCCATCTGATCGATCAACCTCAGTTCATTCCGTTGAATCTTCACCCGGACATATCAGGCCCGGACTTCCCTTACGTTTCGAACGGCCCCAAAGGGAGCGTTCCTCCAGCCAGCTTCAATGGCCGCCTCGATCATTCGGCCGGACCTCCTTATCGGGACCCAGTTCCAGTTGTCAAGCCCGACAAGATCGACCCGAACATAATCATCCCGGCGATCCCGAAAAAGAAACCCCCGTTGGGCGATCCCTTCGCCGACGCGGACAAATCGAAAGCGTCGTCCCCGCCGATATTACCGGGTCGACCAAAACAGGGTCAGAGAAATCCCGATCAGGAGCTCTCGTCGGAGCAACTGTACCATCTGATAAACCTACAGCACCCGGGTCTGATTCAGCTCGATCAGGCGCCCCCTCAAGCCCACCCGGGCCTGTACGACCTTCACCAGCAGATCTCCGGTCAGAAACAGCCGCCCATTGACCGCGGGCAGTCCGATTACTTCGGGACGTCGCCCTCCGCGCCGAAGAAGGCGATCAAGCCCCATATTTTCGCGCAAAAGAACGAGAACGGGCAGACCACCTATCACATCCACACGCCCGAAATCCCGAACACTCCGCAACAGATCGAGGAGCTGTTGGCACACATCAGCCAGCACGATTCCAATCCCGGATCCTTCCAAAACTATCCCGGACAACCGGCCATACCTCATAACGTACCGAACGGCCCGCCGGCCACTCTACCGCTTCACATAGACGCTCACATACCACATTCAGGACTCACGCATTTGAACCATCCGTTCGCAGCACAAACGCCAAACCAGTCAGGTTCGTTCCTGATCACCAGAAGAGATAACGTACGGGATTTTCGGTAACGGCTGCGTTCGGGCTGGTATACCTCGTCGAAGAGCCGAGATGATCCTTCCGCTGTCGGTGTCCCGTCGATGGATCGTCGATCCTTCCCGCGAAGTTCCCGCGTCAAAAAGCCTCGAAGTCGCGAAAATTAAGATTCCGTTAAAAACCGGTCAGCATTAGTCGAAAAGAGCGGTTCCGTCGGTCGGATCGCAAATTTCGAGAACGAAGTTCGCTCGCGTCTTTTTTCTTCAGTCCGTCGCGATTCGATGAGGTTTTTTTCGCGAAGGAAAAGTGATTTCCAGCTTTCCATGAGGAATACCAATAGGCGAACCTGAGGACATTTGATTCTTTAAGACACTCGATCCCTAATAAATATTTTGATAATGGAAAGTTATTCATTCTGAACTGTAGGAAACGTTAAATGTCATTTTGACGGTTGAACGTTGATACAACAAAATAAGAATGAGTTTTACTTTTTGGGGTGCCCAATTCTTCCTTTCGTAAATATTTAATTGTTCTTTAAGTTATTAGGTTTTTTTTATTAAAATTCCATAGTGGAATGAAAAGTTGGTTGCTTTGAGACGGCAATTACGAGGTTAGTCAACAAAAATCGATTTGTTTACAAAAATGAGGTGAATATTTTAAAATAGTACTATTTGGAGAGACAGGATTAACGCCAGATTGGGGACACTTGATCCACAGATCAAGTCTCCTATATCTTAGTAGTACAATTTATTGGCAATAAATTGGTCCTATATCGGTTATATTGGAATTGTTATTATTTAACTTGATCAATGTAGTTATATATATTATTAAAATATCTATGATATTTGCATAAGAACGTTTTGATTCTCCTCTCATTTTTTGAGGTACTCAATAAAATCAAAAGGGGGATCAAGTGTCCTCAGGTTCCCCTACTTACACCAGATACGCTTGTTACCAAGGATCTCGTATAACCGTATGAGGAACGTCGTGTTAATCTCGAAGGATCTTTCCAATTAAAAATATCAGCTGTGATCGGAAATTTGTCGGAAACGCGTAAAGATGAGAATGAGTCGTGAGAATAAACTTCGATATAAGTTCGCGAGGACATACGTTGGAGTTGAGCTTCAGACCAGGGAGTGGCGAGACAATTCGTTTCTCGGAACAGTTCGCTAATGGTGTGAAGAGAAAAGAACAGAAATTTTAGTTACTCATCAAAGATAACGCGATTATCAAAATTTATAATAAAGAGGAAAGGAAAAACAAAACAGTCGAACGTTGCTAAACGGAAGCAAAATTGTGAGAATTTCAGTTTATTACTGATTAATAATACTGGGTTGATGCAACAGGATTCATTCCGTTTTTTGCAATCGGTTCTTCGCTCAGCGACTGCACGGAGATAATATTTGAGTAAAAATCATCGCAAAATTTTCGATCGTACCGGAATTATAACTGAAATCATGATGTGTGTTGTAATTCTGCATATTAAAAAAAAACTGATTGCATTCTAAACTAAACAAATGTCATATGTACATATTTTATTAATAAACGGAACGAACACTTATGCAGCGAGCCGACATCAATGAAGCACTCGGAGAAAACCGAGGCTTATATCATCTTGTCGCATCTCACCACTCACTGTGTGTGTCCTCACGCATTTCTGAGCCCCAGCAGCGAGATCGATTCTTGCTACTACCGTGATGCGACAAAGCGACAGAATAACAGACGTATTCCGACGTATTGTAGGTCTGGACCATAACATTGTACCTCCAGGCTTCCCATTACCCGGAAGTATATCCGGATTCCCGGCTGCGCCGCCCTCCAACGAGATCACCGTGCAAATACTGGAGGCGCTGGATGAGCACACAGTTCGGCTGGTGTTTACCGTGCCTCAGCTCCTGGTGGGACTGCACGGCCGAGTCGAGTTGCGATACACCAGCGACAAGACGTGAGTTCACGGATCTCACGAGTCCCGGATTACCCGGTTATCGAGCTTACGTAAGAAATCTCATCGTCTCCCGCAGGAATTTCGACCCGTCCATGTGGAAGCTGCAGATGTTCGCGCCGCCTCAGGATCTGATCGCGACGCAGCAGCTCGAGTTCGAGCTGGGCGATCTGCAGCCGATGACCGAGTACAAGGTGAAGATCACGGTGAAGCTGAACGGTCTGGACAACAACCCGAGCAGCAAGATCTACAGCGTGCGCACTCTGGAGAAACGCGCGGACGAGGCGACCCTGCCTCCGCAGATCCCGGTCGACGCCGAGCTCCGCGCGATGGAGACGAACTCGAGCTGGGTCGGCATCATGTGGAAGAAGTTCTCGGATTACGAGCTGCAGTTCATAGACGGTGTGCAGCTCAGGTACAAGGAGCACGACGGTAAGGTTTACGCGGCGACACCGCTGATCCACCGTTCCGTCACGAATTACGTGATCGAGAACCTGAAGCCGGCCACCAAGTACGAAGTCGGTATCTACTTCATACCGTTTGCGGGGCAAACAACGGAACTGATCAGCGAGAAAACGGTAAGACAGCTCGTCGTTGTGCTTGATTGCGGTGACTTTCGTAAATAATCGTTCCTGGGAACAGCTCGATTAGGAAATTATGCGACAGAGCTTGGACGCTGACGAATGTGCTTGAGCTATGAAAACAACTATCCGATCAACACCGGACCTGTTTTTAACGAACGTGTTAATGTCATGGAAGTGTTTCCTTCTTTTACAGATCGAAGTAATCACATCTATGGAGCCCGATCCCTATTCTTTCGACGTGAAAGTCGAGATCAAAACAATCAAGTCGACGGACGTGGAAGTGGCATGGAGCGGTGTGCCTTACCCGGAGGACAAATACGTGAACATCTACCGAGCGATTTATCAGAGCGACACCGGCAAGGAAGACACCAGCACCTTCAAGATCGCCAAGAGAGATTCTCACGCTAAGACCGTGATCAGCGATCTGAAGCCCGGCACCAGATACCGATTGTGGCTCGAAATATACTTGACGAATGGAAGGATTAAAAAGAGCAACGTTCAAGACTTCGTCACTAAACCAGGTGTCCTCTTACCGGCCACCGTGTCCCAACAAGGTAGACCGTCTTCTCGAGCTGATTCGACGTTATTGTTTTTTCCCTACCGTCGCATTGTTGGACTAACCGACCGTCTTTCGGTCTTACTTAGCCGGGAAACTCGCGTCGCTCCCTCTTCACGAAGGGGACTACTACGGTCCTCTGGTGATAGTAGCCATCGTGGCCTCTTTGGCGATACTATCGACTCTGATCCTGCTGATGATGTTGATGAAGAGACGGAGCAGCAGCAAGGCCGACATATCACCCCGTAAAACGACGTCGGCGTACGACAATCCATCCTACAAGGTAGAATTACAACAAGAAACTATGGGTAATTCGATATTATTGTTTCTTATATAATGTAAGGGCAAAACGCACCAATATGGCCGGCGCATTCGCATCTTGATCTTCTTCGCGCGAGAATACCCGGCGAAAAAAGATCGTATGTGAAATTCGACCGTATATGACGATATATAATCATCTGTTCCTAATGAAAAAATATTGTCGCTTACAAATTATGTGCAAATACAATCGAAGTAAATACTTCTGGCTACTTGCGTTTCCGACAGCACATGATATTTAATTGTATGACATGACATCATTTTTTTCGTATAAGCATAATATGATCATATATGTAACCACAATATAAAGAAAATTCATATATGATTTTATGTAATTATATGTAATCATATATAATCATTTTTTCCCGGGTATTACGAAGAATCACGCATGCTTAGTTTGTCTATGAATTTCTCCGCATACATGTTAAAAAATAACCTTTGGTGCGTTTACCTTGCGATCAATTTTCTTAGTCTTACGAAAGGGAAGCACTTACTTTCTAAACTTCTTGAAGTGGAATCTCACACAGAACAAGAGAGAGTAAAAGTGACAGTTCGCTCAAAGCGATAATGGAAATATCGCCACTCGAAATCGCAAGAGTGAATGTCCCAGTCAAGCTTAGAGTGGAATCTGACTCCACACGAATGAATATTTCAATCGATTCGAGTGAATTTATTTCCGTAACGATGGAATACATCAACTTCGCTCTTCAGTTTCGAGTGAGAATGTTCACTCGACGATACAGAGTGGAAAATTCACTCTACACCGGTGAAAAATCACTCGAACCCGAATGACTGTCACTGTATTTTTCGCGTGAAATCCTTGAATAATTCAAAACGACCAACAAAAGCTGGCCGTTGGTAATTAGTTGCGAAATTACGAAATTATTTGATTTGATGACCAAGTCGATAAATCTAATTTCTAAACCTTTCGGTTGTAGGTAATAATTTTTTAATTGTCTGCTCTTATATCGGCCTCTTCCAATTATTTAAATATTGTATATCCCGAAAATCTTCCCAAACAACTTGTATGTCTTAAAAACATCTCAAAGACGTTCTTTACACGTATTATTACCTAAAAGACATCTTTACAACGTTTTACGACGTCTTACCAGGGAAGAAATTTCTCATATATATAATTATATATAATTATATATATCTAATTATATATGGGACACTTTTTCCCCTGGCAATGTTTTATTTGAGTTTCCTACACGTTCTTCTTCATCGTTTTTCGGGTGAAATTCCACTCCGTGAAATTTAGAAAGTAAGTCAAGCATATCACTTTACATCGACGCCAGCACAAAAATATCCACTAATGAACGTTATCTCCCTTTAGACCTGTGAGGATGCGGTCACGATATCCAACGGGAGGAACAAAACCACGACCGACCACGAGATGACCACCATCAATTCGAATGCCAAGGAAACCGCTTAAAGCTCTATAATTTATTAAATCTATATTTATTTATATATCACGCCGCGCTCGCGCGGCGAGAACCCGCGAGGATCCGTTTAATAAGTCCGTCCATATACGTATGACAATGTATTGTACGTATTATATGCTAGAAGAAGAGACACTGCCGATCGATCAATTAACAGTCACACACACTTATGTCAGGAATAATCACGAAGTGTTGTCGAAGCAATACACACACACACACATATATATATATGCCGCTGTGTGAAAGATGCAATACTTTTACCGATTAGTTTCGAAATACTCAGACCGCAACGCATGCACAGATGACCCGCAATTTCCCGCGAGTTCTCTCGAGATTGAGATTAATTTTATGAGAACGTTACGTTGTATTAAAACTTGTATATAGCGCACATATTGTACGACATTAAATACGATTTTAAACCTCCGATTTCGGTGGAGGAAGGAAGATAAAAGCACTAAAAGAAAGGAGGAAACACGCTGGCGAACGTGTCCGATTTACCTGTACTTAAATTTTACGTCGTAATAACCACTTACATGTATTCACGTTAACATGTTTATTCGATGTATTTAATGAAATTAATTACTTAACTAAGACACAACTGATAAGTAAATAGTCTCACGCGTCGCGTCTTATTGGACCGAACGGATTTTGTACAGTTTATACTTGTATTTTTAGAGAGAAAAATTTATACAATAAATAACATTATTATAAATTCGCGTGAGAAGTGTACGAATATTACGCCCGACATGTTCCTGCGCAATAATCAGCAATAACGATAGATATATCTGTAAAACAACTTTATTCGCATTCTTTCTCTCTTTGAGTACAATGTAATCTTCTTATATGCCATTTGATGATACAAGTGGTGCAAAAAGGAAGTCTCTACGAATCTCTCGCCAGGTTTGTGTAACTTTATACGCGTCTACCTAGCGGTCTCTATAATGAGGAAAGACAGAGTTATTGGCGATACAGATACGTTACTTTTGAGAATATTACGTATAAAGAGAGGAAGCGCGCACGAGAGGGAGATAACGTGTTTCAAGAGAGTCAAAGGTATTTCTTCAAAGTTTCTTCCATGCCCAACGGCTCGGTGGACGGGACGAATCTCTCCACCACATTGCCCTGCCTGTCCACGACGAACTTGGTGAAGTTCCAGGGAATCTTGTCCCCGCCCGTCTGCTTCTTCAGCCACTTCCACAACGGATGGGCAGCCTCCCCGTTCACGTCGATCTTCGCGAACATGTCGAAGGTGACGTTGAACTCGCGTTGCACGAAGTTTAAGATCTCCTCGTTCGTGCCCGGCTCCTGACCGGCGAATTGATTGCTCGGGAACGCGAGGATCCGCAAGCCTTTCGTCATGTACTTGTCGTAGAGTTGCTGGAGCTGCTTGTAATTCGAGGTCGTTAAGCCGCAGTTGCTGGCGACGTTGACGATGACGAGCGCATTGCCGCGGTATTTCTCCAGCGGCACATCTTCGCCCTCGATGTCGTTCGCGTGGAAGTCGTATATCGTGGTAGCGGAATCCCAGTCGGCGTCTTGGTTGAGCGCCTTCAATTCGGCCAGCCTCGCGAAGACGGCAAAGAGCAGGAATAACGACGTAATTCCTGCGTTTACGTAATACAGCTGTTAGTTAATGCACCGTCTTATTTGCCAAGATTAATAAACCCGAGGCCGGATTATTCTTGAGATCTCTTAAAGCACTTCTTGCCTCTCTTTTTTCGCTTCTCTTTTTTATCTCTCCCCTCCCCGGATAAGTTCTGTATTATCCCCTTAACCTTTGTGTTTGAGTTCGGGATGAACGTTGTAAATAAGAGACTTAAACGCGAATAGGAAATTTCAAGTGAAAGCGACGGCAAGAAAATTTGTAGGAAGAGATTGCGTTAAACAACTTGTGGGAATAGTTTTCGTCTTTCTTTATGTACAGAAGCGGAAGGAATATCGGCTGTTTTTATTTGTCAGAATGTGAGAATGCGTCGGTAGATATGTCACAAAACATCCTGGAGAATAGTCCTGAATGTATCCAAGATGTCCCGAACACATACGGCTTGATCTCAAGATGTTTCGTGCTATCGAGGATTACACGCAGGATAAAACAAATCAATTAACAAAACATTAAACGCCATGCACTACGTAGTAAGTAAGAAATCATTAACACAACATTATTACAATGATGTTTTTTATAATATGTAATGTTTTCAAATATGTATTTCTTAATGTTGTATACAACGTCATCGTTAACGGTAAAATGGGGTCAGATTGACCCAACAACTTCGTTTATTTTACAACGTTTATTTCGCACTCGCTGTTTCTCTTCTCAAGGAATGTTTCATGCTATTATTTACTTCTTTTACTTATTTCATATATTGATTGCATGAAAAATGAACAAAATAGAGCATGGGGTCGGATCCAACCCCACTTCTCTGGATGCGTCGGAAATCCACTTTGCCGTTAGAGGGTTAACGATATATTTTACCCGAACATTAAAAATAATATATTTTCACACTACGATTTTAATATTTCGGAATATCATATTAGCAAAGGAAACAGTTTAAAAACATTTGTAAAACATTCTGCCAAATGTTTATAAAATCTATACAAAATCAATGCTCCGTCGATTAAATTGTTATTTAATCGTTAAGTCGTCATTAGAGGGACATTCGGGATCGATTTCGCGTGTGAAGCGATAACAGTTGAGACAAACAGATGAGAATTCGAAACTTTCCGTCTACTCACGCAACATTCTGACGGGACCGGCAGCTGCGAAGGTGGCCGAACGCTTACTGAGCCCGCTCTGGAGCTACGAAGTAATATATTACTACCGTAAAACACGTTTGCCGCTAGATGGATGGACAGATTGATGAATCACGATTTGATAAATAAAGCGAAATTACGTAGTGGGCACGTAATCCGACTTATTGCTCGACGATAACGGGCCTGAGGTTTGACAATATGTAAGACTGATACGCGTTCTTTGTTGCTTCATTTTTACTTGTTTTATGGGACCTTGAAGACACATTGACCCACACTGGACTCCTGACTCCTCGAAGCGTGTGCCGCGCCACGTGTTTATAGCGTTCGCGATCGATGCCGTCCACGTTCGCAAAGCTATTTGCAGCTTTTGCATGCAAAGTTAAAGATCTATCCAGGCAGAATCGCGCGCGCGGCTGCGTGGAGCGTACACGAAGAGGGAATGAAATCGATCGATAATCGAAAGGGAAATGCAATAAAACGCAATACACGTCGCGTTACGCACAATGAATTACATGTACGATTGGCATTTACATATGAATGGCTGAAGGTGACTTTCAAATTCGAATCAGACTCGTCGACGCATTAGCTCAGCCGGCGGGATTAAGGAATAATTGCACGTGAAAAAGTTTTAACTGTAAGTTTCCAACACGTGCAATCAAATGGAGCAAGTGACAATTCGTGAGGCTGTAATCGTAGTAGCAAAAGTTCCATCACATTGGAATTTTGCAATTAACGCCTTACGGTCAACCAATAGGAAGCGGTCTCGTTGACCAATCAGAAATCACTAGAAAGAGGGTTCCATGTCCCACGTGATGAACTGTCATCTGCTGTTAAGAGTAGACATCAAATTTTACGGCTTTGCAGTTACGGTTATGTCAGTTTTACGTGCAAAGGCCTTTATCAATATGGGAAATCAAATGCAGTTCGTTGTTGAGCAGGAGTGAGGCAATTTTCTTGTTCTTTCGTTATAATTTATTACTTCCGAAAATTCCTATTAGTCAAGCATTAATTACTCCATTTTACTAAGGCACGCGGAATTATCGATTTGTTGGTTATTATCGAACGACAAATTGCACAGCTGGCGATTGCTGTTGGCAATTCCGCCGGTTAATCGTCGATTAATTAAATTGGGGTTCGGTGAAAGAAACTCTTAACTTGCTGTTAGAGTTAACAATAAAATACTTTCATCGAATATAAGTTGTGTGAGACGGACTTAAATGCGCTTGAAGAAACATATTTTTGCTGCTGCAATAGATTCGGAACCGGTTCTTAGCTTTAAGAACGTGCTCTGGAAACCTTGAAACACGACCAGTCTTCTGCGACCTGAAGATGGGCGATGCACGATCGATGAATTGATAATCGATTCTTTTTTCTCGTTGAAGGGTCGATTGCCTTCTCGACATTTTCAAATTTAATCTTCACGTTTATCATATTTAGTCTCGCGGAAACAGCCGAGTGGTTCGGACGTGCTTTGTGCGCGCGTCCGCGGGGTCTTTGTTCCTTTGTTCTTCGTTGAAGAGCCGCATATTTTTTTAGATAAGTCGCATCCGCATCGGCGGAACGCAAGCAATCTCATTATTTCGTAATTAAAGCCAGCGGCACACTTGTTTTCGTGCTGGACCGGCTCGCTGGACAAAAATACCGCGTTCTGATTAGTGCATTTCCAAAAATGAATAACAATAGATCGATCAAAACGCAGTATATTTCCACTCAGCAAACAAGCCAGCACGAAAACAAGCATCATGCGCCGCTGGCTTTAAATCGCGTTTTAATCAATTTTGTCCAAATTTTTCCTGAACTTTGCTGGTAGAAAGCAGCAGGTCCTTCGTGGTGTCGCTAGATGCCGCTAGGTTGGTCTAGCGTGTTGACAAGAATGACATTGTAACACATAACCTAGAAATACAAACACGCTCGTAAAATGGTAAGTGTATACGTGAAATTTTATTGTTATGTATTTTATCAAATAAATATTCAAGTAATATATCTCACTTCATCCGATCAACCTTGTATTTTTCAGGCACGAAATGCGGAAAAGGCTATGTGAGTGTCTGTCATTTATATTTCTCAATCTTTTACACACTTTGTAATCTGCCCGATCAAACGGCTTTACGATCTCTTATTGACGTCTGATGTTGCCGATATTTTTAGGACAACGCTGGCTCGTTGGAGAGCGGCGCAAAGTAACGAAGGGGCGAGGAAAGAGCAGGAACGGAGGCCGTACTTAGCTTCAGAATGTAGAGATTTGCGCAAGGCAGAGAAGTGGAGAATGCAAATAATCAGAGAGATTGCCAAGAAAGTTGCTCAAATTCAAAATGCCGGGCTCGGGGAGTTCCGTATTCGTGACTTGAACGATGAGATCAACAAATTGCTCAGAGAAAAGCGACATTGGGAGGCGCAGATAAAGGAACTCGGTGGGCCTGATTATTCTAGAGTCGGTCCTCGTATGTTGGACCATGAAGGACGCGAGGTAAGTTGGCAAATTATCATAGTAGTTTTAGAATCTCCTGTATTTCTACCGGTCTGTTCCTTTTAGCCGAACTGGCTGCACCAGTTTCAGAAATCTACATATATATCAAAGCGTATGAAGCATGCGAGATTCTCAGGTTTCGGTGTGTATAAATTCCTCGAACTGGTGCAGACAGTCCAGCTAAAAGGAACGGACCAAATAGGGTCTCGATAAGCATATTACGAAATGATATTATGTATTATATAAATGAGATACAAAACAATATTTGATAGATTAAGAAGAAGATAGTATCATACAACTACCATAGAAGACCATTCGACAGACTAAGACAATGTGTCATACAGCCAACAAATCTTAAGCGGAGGCTGAAAGCCCTTTAAATACCCCTTAAAAAAAAAAAAAAAAAACAAATAGATCAAATAACGGATGAAACCTTTTAACACGATCGAACAACAGGTGCCTGGCAATAGAGGTTACAAGTATTTCGGAGCTGCCAAAGAGCTACCTGGCGTCAGAGAATTATTCGAGCAGGAACCACCGCCACCCCCTCGGAAAACTCGCGCGGAACTGATGAAGGACATCGACGCGGACTATTACGGTTACATGGACGATGACGATGGTATCTTGATACCGCTGGAGCAAAGAGCCGAGCAAGAAGCGAGGGAAAAGTGCATCAACGAGTGGATATCTCGCGAAAAGGAGCCGGAATCCACGGACGTCGAGACCACGGCGCAGAAGTCGATACCCACGCAGCAGGATATCCAGGAGGCTCTGTTAGCTAGGAAGAAAAAGGAACTACTGGACAAGTACGGTCTGGACTGAGGCCTGCGCGACTGTGCTTAGGCACAATAGTAACTATTTTTTTAACATAGCTATACAATTAAACGATAATAAATGTATATTCGTAAATTTATTGGTTTAATTATATATATTTAGAATACATTTTTATAAAACGCGATGGATATAATAATTATTGTTAATTTATAAGTACGTAATAACATTGATTAAGGTAATTAGTTTGTGCAGTAGACATTCAAACTTGAATTGATGCTTATCGAGAGAAAAAACGGGTGCTGTAGATAAAATATAGATCGAAATCCAACGGTAGTCTGTTTATAATCTTCGCGACNCCCCCCCCCCTCTTCTCGCGAAAACCGGGAAAATGGGTGAAATACCGTAATAAAATAGAACGACGGGGCAGAGTTACGGTGTTGTCGTTGCTCCGTAATAAAATCCAGAAATTGTCGCACACGCTTATCCGGGTTCGCTTTTCCTCTTCTGTAAATGTAACGTTATGTGTTGCAAAGATAATCAACGTGTTGGAAACGATGCTCGGCTTTGTCCCTTGTCGTCTCGATACTGCAAGCATCTATCGACAGACGAGTCCTACCTAGTTCTGCGGCGTGTCCACTATACGAAGCTAGGGTGACCAGATATCCGGCGAAGAGAGGAAAAATAATCAACGTCTTATACCGCCTATCGTATCTCCGCTGTTTCTCACACGCACATGCACGCACACACGCTTCGTCCCTATGTAACTTCGTTATAACAACAACGCACGCAAAATACGCTGGTCGCAAACAGCCGGGCAAATCGTTCACGCTTGATTCCTCGAGACTCGAGCGGAATTCTAATTCGGTGCTTGAATTTAGGTACGCGAGAAGCTTCGTTCTTCCCTGACGAAGTCGAGAGAGACACGTTAGATCTGCCAGAGAGGAAAGGGCCGGCTCATGGGGCGGCATTTTCCGATGAAAAACCGGGACGTCTGGTCACCCTATACGAAGCCAGCGCGGGGCATCGACTTTTGTCACGCAAAGTGTGAAAAACGCGGTAAGATTAACGTTATCACGATTATGTTACATCAGATATTCGAAGAGTAAAAGGCCTAAAAATTACCCTGAAAAACTACCCGCTAGTGAATTACCTCATGCCGACTGGAACTCTTGGAATTCCTCACTAATTCCAGCTCGCGTTATACAAAACGAATGATCGGTTACCTCCAATCGAGAGATCAGCGCTACCTTTAATCGATTTAGATAAACGGTAATCCTCTCCTCCTCAGCATCGTGCCGTTTATAAACAGACTGTACATTATACGATGACATCGCCGGGGCTCAGAAGTGCTCTCTAACGACACCAGCCGTAAATCAGCATATAAATCGTGCTGATCCTCTAAGTGTCTTCATTTATACCTCGTATTTAGCGCCAAGCGAGACCGCTTTGTACTCACAGCTTAAGATAACGTCGTATTCTCACACACATAGCGAGACCGGTAAATAATCTTGAAATTCTCACCAGTGAACTATACACTATGCACTAGAATGTGAACTTGATTCTAGAAGAAAACAGGACGAGACGGACGCAGAAATGTTGGATCGTCGGAGATGTTTAATCATGAAATAATTATAATTATACGAGGATTAATAACAAGAGGGAAAGCTGCACTCATATGAAAGCATCAGACAGCTATCGGACTAGTCGACTAGATCGAATGGAGAAAGTTAGTAAAATTGATGTTATGTCATAGAGAACTTAGAAGACCATCGACCCGTCAAAATTCGTTAGACAGAGACAGAAGTGGTCCCTAATCAACCCGTATTTTTTCTCCGTGCTGCCCGGGCGCTTAGCATGGCTGTTCACGTTCTAGCATAGTGTGTAGGTAGTTCACTGATTGTCACTCGAGCGAAAGATCACGACGCGAAAGCCAAAGAAACTTCCTCTCCCTCTTCCTCTCAACGGGGAAACCATTCGAACGCGCGCTCGGTGCTAAACGCAGCCGTGACGGGCAAATCCGCCGTGCTCCTTCGCAGCACTTCTGAGACCCCGCGATCGCTTTTACCCCTAAGACGTAAATGACAGAATAGTTCGAGCATGGATTAATAACCACGATGAAAATTTACCACTAGAGGCTTGAAAAAGTCAAGCGTTAAATAATTCACAGCATCTGTTTGTCCGTTAATCAGTCGCCGGCTTTGTCCGCTGATCCCCGGGGGTCCCCTGACGATTGGTCGTCTTTTTTTTCGCTTTTCTCTCTTTTTTTTTCTTCTTTTGGTCTAAGTCCAAGCTCTACGTTATATCACCACCGTCTTCCTTTCAACTTTCCAAACGCCTCTCGGGTGTTTCTCCCTCGAGTCGAGGGGCGTTGAAGAAACAACTCGGACGTTTGCTCCCAATATCTATCGTCCCAGACACGGTTGTGTCGGACCGAGAAGAAGCGCGGGTAATCAAGAGTCTATATTATCTTCGTCGTCGAGTAACAAGTGGCATTCAGGTGACAGCCGCGAGTCTCTCGTACAAAATGCCCGAACATGGCGAAAGTGGTATTTCACGCGACATATCCAAATCGCCCCTAGCGGTACAACGCGGAGGGAACCCCCTCTCGCTTTCTCTCTCTATCTCTCTCGTCGGAAATTCCCTCTAATATTAACGTTACAGATTATAACATCGCTATCTAACGTACGTACGTACTCATGTACTCGTGCGTATGTTTCTAATCCGAGTTTTACAGTTATATCGACTCTACAATCACATCTGCGTTTACGGAGTGCGTTTTGCGAGTCATTGTGCGTCATTGAATTGTGTGAATCCGCCCCACTCCTCGCCCTTACACGTCACCTCGAGATCACCCTCGGCCGAGATACCTTCGCTTGAAACGGTCGTCATCGTCGTCGTCATCGTCGTCGTCGCCGTCGTCACAGCGCACGCCAATTGCGCGCATGTATCAATCCATTCTCGAACCATCTCAAGACACCAACACCCGTGTTCTTAATACAATAACGCCGCTTAAGAGGAGCTTTCCAGCAAGAGACACAATTGGCACACAGTGTAACACAGTGCCTTCCCACAACGATGCAACACGACGCAGCTGCAGACCGGAGTCGAACATTCGTCAATATCACGGCTGTCAACTTCTTAGCAATTTTTATATAATCACTACATCTGCAGCATTAAAAATACGCTGGAGAGTTGTTCCCTCTCTTCGTGATATTTTGTGCTCGATTCTCGATACTTTAAGTCTCTGTATACGTGATACTTATTATAGGATATAAGCTCAGAATGTATGTTAACATTGTAATAAATAGTACGTAACGTGGATACCCTACAGCATTCATTTCTGCCAAACAGCAAATATTTCTGGGTGATAGCGATAAATGAAAGTTATAATTGTCGATAAAATTATTAGCTTCTTCGTTTGAAGTCGACTCAGATCGCCCCAGGAACGATTAACGACATCTTAAGTCCTGTAATTGGCTAGTAGACGCTTATAAAAACGTTTTCAAATTTCAAATAGGAAATTTACACTTCTCACAAGTTCACGCTAGAGAAGAAGATTTGTAACCCTCTGGGGGTTTATCGTGAATCTTTTCCGACACAAACTCGTGAAAAGTGTAAATTTTCTAATTCGAAAACACTCGGCATCTTCACTTTTCACGTTTCCGTCTTAGGGAAAATAATGCTACACGAACGCTATGCCAAAGCGATCAGAACCGGCTTCACTCGCAAACATTTACACGTAACATTCGCTAACATCTAGCACATTCGCCAACTACTTTTTGATTGTTTCCAAAATTAAAACGTTCCGTCCAAGCATCGTCATGCACTGTGTTCAATTGCGTGACACAATGCCTACCTGTGTTTCCTTGCTGAAAAGCACGCGAGGTGACTTTCACCGAACTCGGATCAATGGACGATTGAAAATTGCTGTCGGTCAAATACCGCCTGTTCTTTACCCCGCTAACACAGATAGAAACTATGAAATTTTCGATTATTGTTGAACGTCGAGTCACGGAACTGGAAATTGGTGTTGGCAATTCTTGATTATACATCGATTAGCTTCATCGGAATCCGATGAAAGTCACCCTCGCTCGCCGCCTTCTAAGTCCGTTCCGATTCTGAGCTCTCCCAGACACACCTGAACGGAGCGTAAGATGCCGCTTTGGATTGGGATTAAAAGTCGCGGTTAAATGAACCGGACCGATCGAAAGGTTAATGAAGATCGTCGTATATAAAAATGAACGCGAATGCATAAGCATAGTTCGTCTAGGCGAACGGCCCGGCTGGCATGAACGTTGCTAGTCGCAACGGTGATTAACCCCTCCCCCCCCCC